AAGCTCCGGTATGGCGACCAGCATGACGCAAGCAACATGACTTGGGCTTGGTGGAGTGACAACATTCAGGGTGTTGATTCGAAAATCGATGTGACCTGCAAGAGATGTGGCCATCGCTCAACAGCACCTCAGAGAACGCTCTGCAACGCGGAGGCTCACCTGGATGTTTCTGCAACGGAGGCGTTCCCTGGTCCAGTCGGGACGGGCATGCTCGTTGTCTTTTGATGCTGAAGCTCCGGTATGGCGACCAGCATGATGCAAGCAACATGACTTGGGCTTGGTGGAGTCACAACATTGAGGGTGTTGACTCGAAAATCGATGTGACCTGCAGCAACTGCGGCCATCGCTCAAAGAGCTCTTCACTACTCGGTTTGCAAAGTGGTCGAGCACCTGCATGTTGCCGCAATGGCGGCGTTCTCTGGTCCAGTCGGGAAGGGCATGCACGTTGCCTTTTGATGCTGAAGGCGCGCTATGGCGAGCAGTACGATGCAAGCGACATGACTTGGGGTTGGTGGAGAGACAACATGAAGGGTGCTGCGTCGACAGTTTCTGTGACCTGCAAGAAATGTGGCCATCGCTGCAAGAGCACGGCATTGAAAAATCTTCAACAGGGTCACGCACCTGGGTGTCTCTGCGACAGGAAGACAGAAGCGAAGCTGAGACGCTGGCTGTGCGCGACATTTCCGGACTGGACCATTACGTCGCAGGTGCGGGGATGCACCAATCCAGACACTCAGCGTCCCCTACTTTTTGATTTTGGCTTGTACCACGATACTATTTTGATAGAGCTGGATGGCGACATTGGCCACTTCGGGCGTGGGTGGGGAGGGGCCGCAGACGATCGAGGCGTGCCACACAGAGACTTACAAAAGGAGCATTGGGCAATGCAGCATGGCAAAGTCGTGGTGCGGTTGTTGCAGGCAGATGTGTATAGTGATTGCTGGCCCTGGAGCGATTTTTTGACGTCAGCCATTCAACATGCAACATGTTTGGCCCAGCCTTGTGTAGTCACGCAGGATGCTCAGCAGTATGAGTGCGGCATCTATCGCAAGCTGCGCAGCGACCTGAACTGCAGGAAAAGCTTTTTCCTGCCCAGCCGCATCCCCTACCTGGAGTTTGGACCTGTCAGAGCTACAGGACAAAGACACCTGAGAGTTTCCGAAAATCGGGGACCCTAACTAATATAGCACCCTAAATAGTAGGACCCTTATTATAAGGACCCCAAAATAAGGTACCCCTAATTTTGGGAAACTCCCGGACCTCGGGCTTAGAGCCTGAGCCGCCTTGATGCTTCATCGAGTACAAGAGGGATCCGGTCACCCGAAAAAGCCCGCGCTACACGAAGATCTCCTCAAGGTGGTTTAGGGTTTAGGGGTTTAGGGGTTTAGGGTTTAGGGTTTAGGGATTTAGGGTTTAGGGTTTAGGGGTTTAGGGTTTAGGGGTTTAGGGTTTAATTAGGGGTTTAGGGTGTAGGGTTTAGCTCTGTAGTAGCAGAGACTACTTGCCTTGTCCAAGTCCGTGCATGGATCTGGGCTGTCCTATGTACGTATATAGTATACAGCCATACCGGCATGTAGGGAGCATGTGTCAGGGGATGAGTATATTGATTATATGGCTTGCCTTCCTTACTCCCTATGAAGTTATGCCGTAATTGCTTCTCATTATTTGGGCGCCAGGGCATGTTTCGTGCCAACTCTGCCCGGAGTCCCCTAATGAACCCCAAACCCGAAAGCTACCAACGTTGTCGGCAAGCCCACTGATATACTGAACTACCTTCAGGGGTTTAGGGTTCAAGGTTTAGGGCCCCCTATTCCAGAAAGTATTCTTCAATGTTTAGGGCTCCTGTTATATTGTTCCGAAATTTGCTTTATAGGCAACGTCTTATTGGGAGACACGGGCAGGAGACTTTGACCGCAGATCGCGAGAGAATGGCGGCCTTCAAGAAGAAGTGGCCCCGGGGCCCAGACAGAATGTCCCAACAGGACGTCTCGGAGGGAGGCTTGGGGTTTAGGGTTTAGGGTGAAAGGGTTTGAAGATGAGGACTATGCTTCAGTTCATGATTCTTGGGTTGATGGCGGCCCTTTGGGTTGGCTTATAGGCTTGTCATTGTAAGTCTTGGGGCGCGAGTGTCTGAACCCCCGGCTTGCAGGTTCGAGGCTGCGGTACCTTCTTACGGGTCCTCTTGGACCGGCTTGGGGTCCTTATCTACAATATTCTCTAGTAGGGCTTTCATTCCGCAAGGAAGGAGCCTTAGACACGAAAGATCCTAAAGAGGGAGAACCTAAACCCTACCCCCACGGTCTTGGCCCTTGGCAGCAGCGTGGGAAGCCCTGAGCCCGCACCGCCAAGGAACCCTGCAAGCACGGCAAACATAACAATCGTGAGTCGTAATCATGATAATCCGTGGAAATTGATGTAGTAGTATCAAACTGATGAGTGTAGCAATGATCATAATCACATATACATATATATACACATACATCTCGACTTCCTTTGACTTAACCCCAAATGCCGAGCAGCCTGCCTCCTGCTGACTGCACATTGGATGACGCAGATCAGGCCCCAAGCCCTATGGACCCAACAAACCAACACCCCGCAGCCTTGAAGCACAAAGCCGCGAAACCCATTTGACACTGAGAACCTCAGAGTGTCCGACCGTAAGCTTAATTTTCCAAAGTCCTGAAGCTGTAAAGATAGGGTTTAGGGTTTAGGGGTTTAGGGGTTTAGGGTTTAGGGTTTAGTACGAGGCCTGCTGTAAAGGGTTTAGATGACCCAAATCGCATGCATGCCTTGCCGACTCGCGAGAGTCCACTTAAGCCTGCAACTCGCTTGTACCCAGGCGCAGCCGCTGCCGTGCGAGGGCCTCGTCGCGGGCTCCTTCAAGGTTGTCGGTGAAGGAGTGTAAAGTTTATAGATCCATGCTGTCGGGTTGAAGGCTTTAGGGCTTTGTGGTTCAAGCCTTAATAACTGCAGGGGTTTGGCAAAACGAGATCCATGCTAGAGTCGGTTCATCGAAGAAGCTTGGTTCTTGGACAACGTTTCTTCTGTTGCCCTTGAATTGAATCAAGGCCGAGCTTCTGCATGAAGCTGCTTCCAACAAAGCTTCTGCACGCTTCTACATCATATTTGTTCGTGTTCGCTTCAGCAGAATGTCCGTCATTGGAGGCCCGGGAATCTCACTGCATGCACTGTAAGTACGGCTATGTTCAGGACAACCCCAAGGGGGTTGTGACTATAGCTACAAGTATTATGGACCAATTGGTGTCACCAGCAATTAAATAGTGTATTTCTAACTCCACGTCTAGCCGGGTAGTTATGCCCCGCGACCCGTAACCTTGCACCCTAAACCTTAAAGCCAGATGCACCCTCTCAGATGTGCTACTGCAGCTGTTGCCTTCTTCTTCTTGGAGGGTGCCATCCTCGGACAGTTACGGGTTTAGATCTGAGTTTTTTGAGTTTAGGGCACCAGGGTTAGCCAGGGTTCCATGAAGCGTTTGGAGGTGTTTTAGGGATTAGGGTTTCGTTAAGGGTTGCTGTTCGAGCTGCGTTGGGGGATCTACGAGGGTGTCGGATTTAGGGTTTCAGGATTGGCACTTTGGGCTTTTTGATTATGACATATGATCTGTGTGCTTGCTTTTGCTTCAGTCCTGAATCTAAGTCATACACTGAAAGCACCAAACTCTTCAGAAAGGGCTTGAGATGAGGGTTTAAGGTGCAGGCGCATGCAAAGTGCTCTTCGGACATAGCACCCGGCACAGCTACGAAAATCCTTGAGGGCCCTCAACTCCTAGGCCATACACCCAGAATGGGATGGGTTTAGGGTTTAGGGTTTAGGGAGAAGGTTGCATCACCCGTCCAGGCAGTCCGTCTCATTGTAAACTTGCAGTGCATGCTGTCCTCTGTGCGAAGTGTTGGCAGGATGGTGTCGTCTCCATCCCAGACCAGTGGTCTGTTCTCGAATCTTGTGCGTACTGAGTCCCAAGTATGATCATCATCATCGTTATCGTCATCACCGTACATACCTTTATCACTATCATGACTAATCCTGGTCCTTGATTTCTTTGTGTTGTTGTTGCTTCTGCTCTCGGTGCTGCTTTCTCAATGACCCGCAGTGTTCGTTCGGCTTTTGTCTGGTCGATGTCGTTGCTGCCCAGTGCTGTCCGTCATTGCCACAAAATTCTCAATGGCATTGCTGCTGAAACCACTCTGCTTTGCCGGCTTCTCCTTGGAACTGCCACTGCAAGGGACCACGACTCTTCTACTTCTAGACTATGCTACCACTACCTCTGTTGGCTGTGCCGGTGGAACCCGAAAGCCCTAACTACGATTGAAGAGTATTGCCAATGGGATCTGAAGGCACAGTCTTGAAAGTGCATTGCGGAGCTTCAGCTGCGTCAGTGCCGGAAGCAAACGGAACATGTGACACCGCGTCGGTTTGGGCGGGGCCGCCGACGAGGTTTGCAACGCTCCTGGTGGTGGTGTGCCCAGGAACACACTGTTTTGCTTGCACTTTGGGGGCCTGTGCAGAGGTTTCACTTTCTCAGGCAGCAGATAGAGGTGACGCATGTCTTTCCCTTCGACGAAGCCATGTCGCAGTTTAGGATGCCGGGTAATGTAGGGGCCTAAACTTGCCTAAACTATTTTGGGGGCTCCTCATCATAACTATAGTATATTGGGCCCCAAAACCCTGTTCTAATTATTAAGGCCCCTGCATTAGCAAGCTTCAGGCGCCTCCAAGGTGCTAGCCAGACAAAGATGGGAAGCAAGCATCGGGCTATGCTTGCACACTGTCAGTTTCAGGATGTGACCCCTTGCATCCCGGTGCAAACAAACCCAAGCTGAAAAGTTCTGAACATGGCCCTACACCTGGAGCCTTAGGCACGGACTTGAGCGACATCTTTCTCCGCATTCTACAACACCTTCGCCCTCGGAGCCAGCTGGCAACTCCTCAAAGTCTAGCCTAAATCGCGAAATTCTTATGCCCCAAACCTCGAGCGTCGATGGAGAACCAGCTGCCGTTTTGAACTAATCCATACCCGGCCTGTCCGGCAGCCCTCATTGCACCCACAGAGTTGCAGAGCGTATAGGCTCTACAGTGTTAAAATTAGGGTGCTCTACGGCTCGGGAAGTTGTAGCTTGGTGCCTTTTATCAGAGGGAAGTGAGTTTTAGGGTTGATCGGGTTATTTTCGTGTGAGGGTCAGGTTTTCACAAGCTTGCCGGCCCAGTTATTCGCGACCTCTCCATGGACGCGTCTTTGCGAAGATTGCGGCTGGCCGCCACGGGCCAATCCCCCTTTCGCTGGGCCCGGGTTCGTGAGTAAGGGCGTAGGGTTCAAGCCCCAATTAACACGCAGGGTTCCCGGGTCACTGTGAGAATTTAGCAGGCAATTCCCATCTCAGCCCGAAGAAGCTATGTTTTAGGAAACGGCATCCTTCTACAGGCCCAAGTTTCAAGGAGGCGGCTTCATGGATTCATGGTTTCAGGATTTAGGGCTTATAAGGGGTTTTGGATGCAGCAAAACAGGGGACATGTGGGTTTGGGTCAGGGTCGGGGGATGCCATTGGCATGCCACTTGTTCTCGTCTCTGAGCCAGGCCTGCCCGCAAGCAGCCTCGTTTGACTTAGGGTTGAGCTTAAGGGCTTGGGTATATAGGTAGTTTTCTAAATTATGGTCCTTTTTAGGGTCATTAAAACAAGGGTGCCGTACTATATTGGGGACCCAAAAAGGGACCCTCTTTTAGAGAACTACCTATACAGGACCCAATATAGGGGTTACTGTAAGGGCTCATTAGTGGTTCCACCGATTTCGGAGTCAGGGCTTCGGTGCATGGCTGCCGCAAGTCCCCCTGCTGCGACGCTACTGCGGGACCCAAGTCCAACGCCTTTCTACTCAGTCTCTGGGTAGCTGATTCGCTCAGATGTTCAAAGACGTATGTCTAGGTTATGTTGGGTTAAACGATGCGTCTATATCAACATGTACATCCACACCTACATACACCGATACATGCATGCATGCATGCATACATACATGTTCACGCAATATAGTCTGGCATGATGAAAAGTAAAGTTGAATCTCCTCTTGACCGGGGAGCTCAACAACTCCAGGATTAGTGACTACCAAACCTTAAGCATTATACCCCAAACCCCAAACTCGACAGCTCGGAGGCACTTGTGTATCTGGCGGCGCCGTGGGGTGAGAGGGTAACCCCCTAAACCCCAAGACCTAGCCCTGATCCCGGCTTCTACCCTGAACCCTAAAAACCTATCTCGGACACTTCTTGCCATTCCTGCAGTTGCGAGTGTGTGAGTCGAAACCCCAAGACCCTCAACCTGATCCCGGCTTCTACCCTAAACCCTAAACCCCATACCCTCAACCCTAAACCCTAAACCCTATACCCTAAACCCTAAACCCTAAAACCCTTCCCGCAGCTCCCCCTTGGGCTTGGAGTCATGCTTCGCCCACACCGGGCCCGGGGTTGCGACTCCGGGAGTTGCAGCTGGGATCTGCAACGAGGGGCTTTGTGGATCCGGTAATCTAAGGGCCTAAGGGTTTCGGGGACTTTTTCTCGGGGCTTAATATAGGGTTTAGGGCTTAGGGTTTAGGGTTTAGGGCCCTCATAATTAGACTGAAGGGTATATCGTATAGTGAACCCCCAAAAGTTGGAAACCGGATTAAGGACAAATAGTGCCGAGATTTCCTGTACATCACTCTTTCGGATTGAGGCCATTGGGTTTCAAGTTTTTGGGCTCCTACTATGTAAAGTATACAAAAAGAGGAAAGGGGCTATATCACACTAAATTATGGATTATCAGGAGCATCATGGGTCATTAGGCAAGGCTTCGGGGCCATATTATAGTAGTAATCATAATAAAAACGATTACTGTAGTAGGGGGTATTTCCATAAGAACGGTTTCAGTTGTGTTTCTTGAGGCCTTCGCAAGCAAAAGGGGTGTATTGTCTAAGAAGGGCCGGGTCTTGGATATACTGCGAGTCAAGGTTGGGGTCTTGGGGGGTTGACATGCAACGAGGGAGTTAATGGGCTTTTCCGGATCAATCTGACTGGTGCGGGTAATTAGTGGATCATTGCCGGCTGGGGGCCTCCTTCGATTATGCATCATACCCTAGACATCCCTAGACTCTCTAGGCCCTACTTCGGGTTCATGAGTGGCCGCAACGCTTCCGCTTCGTTCATGTTGCCTCCATTGGGAGCTTGGCGAAGAAAGCTAAGCTCGGTCTGATACTGGTAGCGTGAATCTCAGATAATGCAGGGGCCTACAGTAAATAGTTACCTCCATTAGTTTGTGGGTTCCTTATTATAATTATCGCATAATGGGCCCCGGTTTGATACTGATAGCGTGAATCTCAGATAATGTAGGGGCCTAAATAATTACCTACATTATTTTGTGGGTTCCTTATTATAAGTATCGCATAATGGGCCCCAAAATTAGTAAGGCATCTATGTTGATACGGCCAATTCCGGTACTCAAGGTGCAGCCTGCCATTCTGCACGAGGTAGCAGGGACGTTTGAATGTGACGCGGAGTCGGGGAGACCGCATCAGCTTCAGACTTAAGCGAGCCCTGGAGACTGGAAAGCACAAAGCCTTAGCCGGCAGAGAAAGCACACGATAGTAGACCAGAAGCCCTTCTAGATCTTTCGTAACTTGACCTCTTGAAGAACTAGTTTAGCCCTTGTTACCTTGTTGAAATGTAGAAGCAAGGTTTACGTGAACTAATGAAACCGCGGCCTTCTTCTCGACCCCAAAACCTCAGAGCCTTAAGCTCTTAAGCCCATAGACCAAATAAGCCGATAGTTCTGGGTTTCGGGCGTAGGGTTAGTCACTAATTTAATCTGGAGCCCTAACCACCCCAAAAAAAAGAAAAAAAAAGCCCTGAAGCCTAAACACCAAGTTCTGCAACGAAGAACCCCCAGCTGTAGGATTTAAAACAGACAGGTCATGGATGAGGAGGCGGCGCGGCCTCGACGAGGCTTTTGATTCTTTGCGAGTTGCTTAGGGTTTCGGATTGAGGTGTTCAGGTGGATGTTTCAGAAAATATGCGACCCTGACTAAATACCCGAATTAAGGTCTTCATTGCAAGGCGTTTGCCTTGTACAAAGCGGCTTTAGGGGTTTCGGGCTTAGGAAAGATCAGCGTGTAAGATGGCTGCTTCGGTTTACCTAGGATCTAGGGCTCAACAATACCCAGCAGACTTGTATGGCATGGTCTTTCGGTCAGAAAGCCCTGAAAATTGAGACCTCAGAGACCTAGGGACTTAGGCTTAAGGCTTCAGGCTTCTGCTGGGTGCCAAATGCAAGCCTTACTGCTCCATAAACCCTAAAATTCGAAATCCGAAACTCTTATCAAACCTTTTCAAGCTCCATGGCCAAGCATTGAACTCCGCAATCGCAAGCCACAACCCCGGCCTAAAGCCAGTCAGCTGGCGGTACGACCCGTCTGTGACGTGGAAGCATTTTGGGCTAGGCCCGCCGGCCGTGCGCGACCGCGAGAGTCGAAAGTGCACCCTGTGCCAAAACCTGAGTCTCCCACATATACATATATATATATATATACATACATGTATATATGTGCAACATGTACATATCTATATATATATATAGATGTAGATGCACTTGTATACAAGAGCTCAACAAAGCCTGAAACCCACTCTGCCATGCGAGAGGGAAAAAACTTTCCTCCATCCGCAGGGTGGTTTCCGCGAGATCCTAAGCTCCCGACCAACCTCCACCAGGATTGCGGTACGGATTGTACTCAGGCAGTGGGCCTTTCTTCCGGATTTCTGGGCCGTCAAAGGTGTAGCGCCTTAGGCTTGGGTTTAAAGGTTTAGGTTTTGGTGTTTAGGGTTTAGGGCTGAAGGGATTCAGGGCTTAGTGCATTGCAGTCCCTGCTCAAAAAAAGGTTTTGGTGTTTAGGTTCGCGTGTGATTTCGGTTTGAGGCTGTGCAGGCCACCCTAAACCCTAAACCCTAAACCCTAAGATTCTCAATTGGATGCAAGCTTGATGAACCTATGCTAACCTCGCCTGTGAGCTTTGTTCTCTGCCATGCGAGAGGGAAAAAACAACCCTAAACCCTAAGAGTTCGCAGTGACTCGGACCGGGCTCTTGGCAATTGAGCGAGGAAGAACATATTTATGGACTTGGCGGCATTCTGTGTCCGGTTCTCATGGGTAATATAGGGGCTTATAGGGTTCCTTTAAAGGGAACCTCAAAGGGTTCTATAAGGGATCTATGATAGGGTGACTTTTTTGCAAGTCTTGATTGATGGAACCATCAACTTGGACAGATGATGTCCGGACATGGTGTCATGCAGCACCAAACCGAGGGTTTGCAAAAAGGCTTAACTGGGGAGTGGCGTGCGTATGAATCTCTCGCGATCTGTTATCAACCACAAACGGAAAGCAGGACGCTGTTGAATTATTCTTGGCAGAGGTGATGCCTAGTGTTGAGGAATGTAAGCTTGCAGATCACAGATGTAACCTCAAGCCCCAAAGCGTAGTATGATGCAGTTCTGGCGTCCGGGAGCCTGACATCCTTCACAGAATTAGACATTTCATCAGGTGGAACAGTGATGCAGGCCAGCCCTCAGATCTTCAGAGCTCGCTGCCTTTTTCACATGACCTATCCTCACCAATGTGCCTGCAATCCAGACCCCCCCCCAGGCGTGTAGTGCAGTTTCTGGATGTTTCATCTCGTCACTACTCATCCTTATACCTATACGTGGGCTTTGAAACTTAAATCCCAGTTGTATCTAACCCACAGGGCCCGAAGAAGAAATACAGTAGAATGTAGGGTCCCCCTAGTAGAAGTTACTATACTGGTTTGGGTAGATATCCTTTGGGTAAGCCCTAATCCCGTTTGAACGATCCGGCCTCTGATAGGACCTCCTGGTCGCCCTGCAGAAGGCGATGTGTCAGAGACCAGAAAGGTGGTCAAAGGTTGAGTAGGTATAATCGTTCGTTTTCCGCTCAGGGCACAGGTTTTAGCGCATGCAGGGTTTAGGGTAAGGGGTTGAGGAGTCCGCGGAGGAGAGAGAGGGTTGAGTCTTCCTTTAATTATAATGTGATCACTCTTCTTCTACTCATGTCGTGTTTGCTTTGTAGCAGCAATGTTTCATCACTGTTGCTGTTAAGTCATTGATGTTATGGGTATTTTGTGGTATGGTTCAGCACTTGTTTTCCTCATCACCCCAGGGTTTTCAAGATTAGAGCGAAGAAATAGAAGGAAGGAAATACTGCAGGAGTTCATAGGGTTTTGCAATGTTAGCTCAGGGCTCCGGGATCCATATCGTTTGAAGAGGTGTTGGTCTTACGTTAATGAACCTCTTTGAGAAACCTTGGCGCCCCAAAACCCTGTTATCTTCGATGGCTGCATTTGAAAGACTTGTATTTCATTGTTTTTGGTCAGTCCGTAGCTTCGTGCTCAGAGGCTTTGTGTCTCGTCATGGCTTCAGGATCTGGGAGGTAGCCAGAAAAAACCCTATAAAGCAGAACCCACAACCAGAGCAATCATTCCGGAGACCACGGCGCATCTAACTTAACCGCCGCAGGCTGTGGGGCGTCCTGCGCCAACTCCCACTCCCGCTGAACCTGAGGCCATTTAGGGTCCCTTTCAGGGTTTCTACCAGGGATCCTTTCAGGGATCCTTTGCGGATTCTTTAGATCCGGGGTTTAGGAGTGTAGGGTGTATAGGGTTCAAGGCTTTGCGTCATTATCCCAGATTGTGAGGCCTAAATGTCGGTTTGCAGAAGATGAGATTGGCAGGGAAAGTTGCTAAGGCTTATGTACTACATTTACTGTGGGACAGGGAAACCCTCGGACGCCTGCCTCTTGAGAATATTTTGCTATACATGACAGAAGATCGCAAATCTATCTCCAGCTGGGCATGTCATCACAAATCACGCCATGGCGGCATCGGGTCAATTGCACAAGTTCCGATTTTTTCCTGCATGCAAGCCTCAAGAATGAGAAATATTCCCAGTCGAAACCTCCATATTCCGTCAGGCCATCGCTAGATGTTCAGGACACCCATCCCCAAAGACTCCAAAACCCCTTAATTAAGGAATATACCTTAAACTATAATAGGAATCCTAATATGATTTAAGGTATGTTCCTTAATTACGGGGTTTTGGAGTCTCTGGGTCTTGGTGAGCGTATGCGAAGAGTGGGCTATCCTACGCAGTGAACCGCACTCACAGCCTGCAGGTCACATCTTTCTGCCCAGACCTTCCAATCTCCCTTAACTACAAAATGCACTTGAATGATGGTAGGATCCCCGCTATGATTTAAGGTATATTCCTTTGAACTACAAAATGCACTTAAATGATGGTAGGATCCCTACTATGGTTTAAGGTATATTCCTTCGAAAGACCTCTGGGTGCAAGTAGGGATGGTGTGCTCTGGGAGGGCACTCCCAGACCCTGCCCTGAAGATATGGGATCTTCCGAAAATTAGGGGTACCTTACTTTGGGGTCCTTATAATAAGGATCCTACTGCTTAGGGTGCTATATTAGGGTCCCCTATTTTCGGAAACCCCCATATGGAAATGACCCAGACGCTCCTTAGGTGCTTTCGAATCGAGGTAACAAAAGCGGCTTAAATAATTACCAAAACTATTTTGAGGGGTTCTTAGTATAACTATAGTCTAATGGGCCCCCAAGCCTTATTCTAGTCATCAAGACCCATATAGTATGTGTTCCCAAACAATGGGCATTTGGGGTCTAGTAGTGGGTAGACGGAGGATCCAGGTGAGGGCTTTTTGTTTCATACCGCCATGGTCGCATACTATTCTTGCGCATCGCCTCAAAATGATGGCAACAACGAAGGCCCTACTGCGTCTGCAACATTCTGCAACTAAATCTTAAACCCCGAACACTAACTCCGGCTCTTGAGATTTCTAAGGTCAAAGTGGCCCGAAAGCTTTATACAGATACAGCAGCGTGTTTCCAATTTCGAGGCCTTCCCTGAAGCCTGAAGAACCTGGGCTTTTCAGGGCTCTTTGTGATGATTTCCTTAGACAGAAGTCGTTTGACAGGTAGGATTTTTTTTTTGTGAGGGGGGAGGGGTTGAGGTGAAGCAAAATAGAAGCCGTTCGAGGCTGATAGGGTTGTTACCGAGATACGCGAGAAGCCAACCTTTTCAGCCCCAGCCGGTGAGGTGCCAGCGCAGGCATCGCCGCAAAGCGGTTGCCTCAGCTTGAGTCCGGGCTTACATGGATCGCCACACTTCAACATCCCCTAAACCCGACTCTAGTTCTAGTTGTGGAGGCGCCCACAGTGCGTGGGTCTTGTACTTTAAGATATACTTCCAGTTACCAACATAGTCCGAACCTTGGACTTTTGTCTCAGCCAAGCATGCTACAGTAGTAGGTCCAGGGTTATGCCGCGAGCAGCCTGAGAATTTCGAGCCTTGCTGAAAGTAGGCGCAGGAAGCCAAGAAGAGGAGAGGTCTGCCGGGCTGGAAATTGCAAGGCACTTCAAGGATGTGGAGGCAAAGTCACAGGTGGGCAGTCATGGAACGGAGCAGATTCTTTGGCAACAGTTTGGCAACAGTTTGCGAGGAGACGGAGTTGGTGGCAGAGTTGAAGCAAGGGGTTTCGTAAGATCACGTGGGCTCTTAGATGACAATGGAGGTTCGTAGTCCAAGAGCCTTTCGATCCTGCTTCATGTCCGCTTTTTCAGCCGTTTCTTTGCTCTTTCCCGCTCGGCTGTGCCCTCACCCACGCAGAACACAAGGCCATCGGTGGCAAGATCTGCTTCCTGTGTGATTGTCAGTGGGACATGCAAGGTAGTTGCCTCACTTTCAACTGCCAAGCACCATTGAGACAAATCTCCCGTGTGAATCAAGAAAGGTGATGGTGTGTTAAAGTCACGGTATGAAGGCGCGACAACGGCAGCAAGGAAGAGCGACGACGATGATGATGATGTGATGAAGAAGAGGGATGAGGAGAAGAGGGAGGAGTCTATTGCCGGAGAGCTTATCGATGCCACGACTTCCCCGAAACTTGCAAGGCAGCCCGAAGGCCTGGGGCAGAACTTCCCGACATCCCACATTCCAACGGCCTCAGATCATGGCGGACAAGAAGCCGGGCAGTGACAACAGAGCCTCGCTTGCATCAACATTGGTGGCTTTGCATTTACAGTCTTTTTGGCCAACACGTGTCAAAATCAGCGCCGCGGAACAGTGTCGGTATTATTGGTATTGTTAAAAAAAGGACTGGTTGGGACCCGCCATTTTCGCCAGTTGCGCAACTCGCACGATTTCCCCAAGACATCCAGTACACCTTGTACAGAAGTTTTAGGTCCCTTTGGCTTAGAGTTACCCCTAAATCCTAAGCCCTAATCCCTCAAGTTTAATGACTCTCTGCCAGGAGGAAAAGAACCCGCCAAGATCCTTAGGACATAGGATGATGCCGTGGTAGTTTATTTGTAGGGTGTAGGGTTTAGAGACATGCTGGATGTGTTCTCCATTGGGGTCCCCGTCAAAAATCTATACAAATCGGAAGAATCAGGGAGAAGGACATCCGAACAGCACTCCCGCTTTGGAAAGTCAGGCGTTGTCATCTTGCCTTCCTGCCTCTTCCACATCGGCAACACCCAGCGTGAGCAAGACTTGTTGAACCTTCCGCCTCCGTCACTCATCAGCACTATTTGGGATATAACCCGAACCCTCCAGGTGCCTACTATAGAGGGTACTAGAGCCCCTAGGGCCCTGTATAGTATACTTGGATGCTTAGGGTAAGGTGGAGGGAATGATAGAGTTCAGAGAATCAGGGCGTCTACAGACTTCATGAGCACGGGCCTTCAAGCAGGCTGGTCTTCGCTATTTTGCCCCAACACCCGATAGTGACTGTCGAGTCTCGCCCAACCGGCTGAAGCGCGGCTTCCGGATGCGCCAATACAAACATCAGAGCGATGATGTCAGCACCTTTCGTAGAGATATGACCAAAGTTCTTGTCAGTCCAGCTTTCCGCTTGTTCTTAGGCGTATCATTGCTCATGGCGAGGGATTTCAGCTACCCCCAAACTTCTAAAGTCTGAAAGCCCCCTATAAGCCCAGCCCCAAACCCTCCAATCCGAAACTCCCAATAGCAATCCCTAGAAGGCCCGGAGCCTATCCCCTGCGAGGTCTTGTTCCTCGAACCCCGGGAATCCCAACCTCTTCCAGTTGCGCACGTCGCACGTCCGCAAGTGGACATTGCGGCTGCCATGCTTCGCGGAGTTTAGGGTTTTACCGTGATTTACAGTCGGTTTACAGGGCGTGGGGTCTGCTGAGCTTTTGGGTTTGGGGATTCTACAGGTTTGGAAGCCGTCAGCATCTTCGAGAATTGTCGCGATTCGCAGCTATGCAAACCGCGGTCGTCGAATTCGCCTGCTACCCAAACCTCGAACGTGGCTCAGTGCCCGATAGAGGCACCCGACACAGCACAAGGCACTAGAAGAGTACCGAAAACACCACAGTCAGAGGACCCTAAACCCGAAAACCCAAACCTAAACGTCGAAACAGCACAAGAGAGTTGAAGAATGCTGCTAGGGACCGAGGTCCAGAGGAGCATATCAACACAGGATCAGTTTGTGTGCAGTGGGTCTTCGGAACGCTTCTTTTGGGTGGCTGTGTGTAACCCAACGTATGGTAATTACTCCTGGTATCTAATATAGGGTTTTTCTTCGTTCCGTAATATGGCTATTCTGCACCATACTTCATTCTCTTACGGCCCTTGTACCCTAAACCCTAAACCCTAAACCCTTACTTCATTCCCCAAGGAAAGGTGCCGTCCCGGGTGCCTTGGCCCGGACTGCCCTGGCAGGCCCTGTGCCGAAGGCTTGGCCAAGAGATCTTCTCTAGACGTTGAGGGCTGAGGGTTTGAGTCTAGAGTTTAAGGCTGTAGGCTTTAAGCTAGCCGTATTCGATCTCAAGCTCTAAAGCCGAATTCGGCTTTAGAGGTTGAGAGCTTGGATCTTCAGGCTTTTTTAGGTTTGTTGGCTTTAGGGTCTTAGAGTTTGGCGCTGCGGGGATTGAAAGTCTGGGAGTTTGGTCTCAAAAGGACCTTTGTGCTTCAAGAAATTATGGTGTTCTTCTGGCCTGGAGTGTATCATTTTCTTATTCGCGAAATGGGTACGGGTAGGTTTATTCCAAGCAAGGTGCCGCAATTCAAAGTATGCGGACCAAGTTCTTTTCTTGAAGTATTCGGAGTACCTGTCTTTGGGGTCCCTATTCCAACGAACGAGGGTAGGGTTTCCGGTTAAGGCTTTCGGGTGGGGATCCTTATGGCAAGGACCGAGGGACCCCGAGCCGATGGGACTCCAACATGGGTCGAAGGATTTCGATCTGGGAGGTGCGCCGGTTTCTGACGCAAAAGCACCATCAATCCCGAAGTAGTGATAACAGCCGTGGGTCTCTCGGCGAGCCGCGAAAGCCCCACAGCCTCCACAGCGAAACCCACGCTGTGTGAAACCTGACTAGGGTTCATGAGGTTTTTGAACCCTAAACCCTAAACCCTAAACCCGGCTCGTGAAGGTGGCTGTCAAATGGATATTACCTATGCTTGCACACTTGCTGTTTTTCTTGTCCCTATCCTACTTGACAGCGAGCATCAAAGTGAACCTACTTTGTTGCATCTGTTAACGATTCTTGAAGACAGTATCGTGGTGGACCTTGCCAGGCTTGTCCGAGTGTGAGTGTCAAAAAACCCTAAAAACCTAAACCCTAACAAACCCGACGCCCTCTGCAAAACAAAGATGGGTTCATCGTTTCCGAGCGCCTTAGCAGTGCAGGCAGTGGAAGCACCGAAATGAGAACGACGGTCGGCTCTCCGTGAGGCATGCGATAAGTTTAAGGTTTAAGTGTCCTTTGAAGATTTCCGGTAAAGAAGCCCTAAACCCTAAACCCTATATAGACTCTAATCCCTAGGCCCTAAACCCTGTACTCAGGGGTTCTAGTGAATTCTAGTGCGATTTCGGGTTTCCTTGCTTCTTGTTGTATCTTAGAGGTTTATAACGGGTTTGGGTAACGGGCTTTTCAGGAGGACATGGGGGCTTTCTCAATGTTGATAAACCCGAAGATCCCAGGTCTAGAAACGGTACGTACTTTGTGAGTCTACAGAAGGGACTGCCATGGGGCCTGGGTTTTTGTACACCACACTTTCGCATGGCAGGCCGCTCTCTAAGTCTATAGAGTTTAGGGTTTAGGGTAGTGCCTACTTTGGGCTGTTGGGAAGGTCTACCGGCTTCCGGGGAAGTATTGGTTGCGGTGCACATTGCATTATAGCATGGCATCTTCCCAAAGGATTATGACCAATTTGTTGGTATGCTGGGTCAAGGCTCGTAGAGCTCGTAGGGCCTTGCTTGTCGCCATGGGTCGCAGGCTTTTGGGCTCCGGGCGTGGATATGCTCGTTCTCGGGTGTCTGTCTTGGGCATTTTCTGCTAAGGGCTTGCCTTGACGATCTTGGTTTAGTTTCGAGCTGCAGTAGGATCCAGACTTGAGGATGCAGGCTGGTGATGACCCTGAACCCTAAACCTGGTTGAGCGCTAAACGTTGCACCCGAAGTCCTAAAGGTTCTATGCGATAGCCTTAAACCCGAAACCTTAAGCTCCACCCCGCAGAGCCAGAGTGTTCTACGTTGCTCATGCACTAAGCCGCATCAGCATGACCCTCCCGGGGCGAAGTTGGGGCTCGAAGTTGCAGGTTCCGTTGAGGAATCCCTGCAGAATCCCTCGTAGAAGCTCCAGAAAGTCTCTTCATAGGAACTGGGAACCCTGGCGTACCTTCGAATGCTCATAGTTCAGTTTCAATGCAGGTGTTGTTTGGTGATGAATACAAAGCTGATGGACAGATGCAGTTCGACGAAAGGCGAACCACAAGACATAAATGGGAGTTTTCAAAAAAGAGGAAGCCCAGGTATGGAACCGCAATGCTGTACGTACAGCAGTGAGCAGTATCACATCCGTGAGACACCAAATACCCAAACCCTACACCCTCAACCTCAAACCCTATTCCGCCCTAAGCTTTAAGCCCCAACGAACCCTCAGATCCTAAACCCCAAGCCCTCTATAGGAGGGCCAGGCTTCCCGGCACTGCTCTCTTTCCCAGAGGGTCCTAAGTACCTATGTGGGGGATATTTTCCCAAATCATAATGATAGTAACAATAAGAAGAATAATTCTTATTATAGAAACCCTACATTCTGCTATACATTTTGTATACAGGTACTTAGGATCCCTTGGGTGTTGAAGCTGCCCAACTGTGCAGGGCGCTTCGTGATCGCTGCGCGGGGCTCTAGCTAGGAAAGGAATAACGGCTGGCCCCCCAGGGCGGCACCGAGGGAGGTGTTTGGGGGTATTCCAGGTGTAGTATATGGGCTGACATATTCAGTATGGCTTGCTTCTTGGGTTTCTAGAAGGGTTACTTTATGGGTGATCAATTGCGGCTTTCGGGGATCCTGCATTTCTCTGTCGCGTTGAGGGTTTCTGACACAGATTTCGAGTGTAGAAGCGAAGGAGGCAGTTCATGTTGCTGCCGGGTTGGCTTGTAGCTACCCTGGTGCCCTAAACCCTAAACCCTGGTGCCCGGCGGGCCAGCGAGAGATGGCCGAACTGCGGCAGGCGCTAAACTGCTTGTTGTTTCACATGCTCCCCACGAGTGGCTTTAGGGCTTCTTGGGCTCTATACAACTTAGCAGCGGCTTTAGGGTAAACTATATATGGTTTCAAAACTTCAGCATCCTTGTGCAGTAGCACTGCGACTCAGCGTTGATCCTTTCAGGGTGGGTTCAGCACCTTTCACTTTGCAAAGCCTCCGTGGGAAGTCCCGGAAGAGTCCTGGAGAAGTCTCTCGGCCTTGCTGAACACAAGCGGGCGTCGGAAGAAAGATACCTTTCGTGATCCCTTTGGGGGTGGGGTCTATACTTATACTATCTATACTCTCCAACGTAGTTCCTTGTGTTCTTTCTTGGGTTTGAGGCTTTATCTATAATCTCCGAAGTACTTCCCTTTGTTGGTTAGCTGCTTTCTTTATCGTGGGCGCCCTTGCAGTACCCCGTCAAGAGATCGCCCTTCATTTCGCCCAACCGGCGTGGTGCCCAACACGTGTTTGTTACTTAGTGGATGGTTCAATTGCTGAATCTATGGCAATCGCTCTCGGTATACAAATAAGGCATGCTGAAAAGAAGTTTCGTTTGATTTCAAGCGGCATCCGTTGTCGAAGTATGAGGTAGCAAATCGGGTTATTTGGAAAACATGAAAGTCTTGAATGCTTCGTAATGGAATCCCCTGATCGTCCCCAACTGCATGTACTTGTTTACAACCCCCCCCCCCC